ATCATATGGATAGTGCGTCGTATCAGGAGTAATCTTACTTCTAGGCCACCTGACTCCCTGGGGACACCCAATAATCACGACTTATTGTATTCTCTTGCATTAATTACACCATGCTATACAGCTCTGGATGATCTCTTAATGTACACAGCCGTAAGGTTGTCATCACATAATAAACACTTAACTGCGCCAAAGCTCTCCATCATGCAGTTTGATGGCCTTCATAAAAGTGAATCAAAAAAAAGAAGAAAAATGCTCTCTTTTCATTAGAAAATAGACCTCTCTTCCGATCCACATCTAAGGCTTCCAAGAGAAAAACCCGTCGCCAGATTATAGATAGCAAACCGTAAACCCTTCTTTGCCATTAAGTCGCAAGTGAAAGCCATAAAAGCAACAGTCAACGTTTATCGGTAAGGGTTTCGGCAAATCTATGCTCAGTCAAGGGCATCTAATTATAGAAATAGTAACCTTAATCATAACATTGCCAGTAAGCGTAAGAGTAACGGTAACAGTAGCAGCAAAAATATTAATAACAAAAGTAGCCAACAATAATATTAGCAGTTATACTAATAATAATATAACAATGATAGAATGAAAAAAATTAAGAATCGGAGAAGAGCTTTCGATATTTTAGAAATAAATTCTTTTCAATTGACACTAAAGGTATGCTAATCATCAAACTTTTGTAGGCAAGAAATGATTAAATAAATTGAATACATTCACAACATCGTTCATGGTATAGTATGTTTTCAGCGTATGAATGGTAATAAATAACAATCACAAACGTAATATATATATATATGTACTTTCAGACATTCAGCCCAAGTATAAAGGTAACTAACTGAAAAACGAAAGCAACTAATCGTAATAATAATAAGAGAAATACAGACATTTATAATATATGTATTGTGTATATATATATATACATGTGTATGTGTTTATGTGTGTTTTCTCTTTTATTAAAAGTACATACTGTAAACATTTAAAATAATCACTACAGCAATTATTTATATTGTCAATAGTTGTGCAGTTAATGAATGTACATAAAACAATTTTATGAACTGACAATTGCTTCCAATTGGCGCCGATTACAAACCAATATTTGAATTAAGTTAATATGGTGGTTAAACGAATGCCTGCACATTCCCCTATCTCCCAAGTGGCCCCTTCTAATATTAGCCAATAATTTAGCCTTTCAAACTTATCTACATATGTTTTATTGCATTTCATATACACATACACACATACACACATACACACATACACACATACATATATATATATATATATATATTCCGTTATATGTTAAAATGATTATTCTTGTATAACATTTATTATAAAAATTTGTTCTATTTTTTCCGTTTTTTGCTAAATTATTATTTTACTACACTTTTTTATTTATGTTTCTTTTTTCTTTTTTTTTCTTGCCTTCCGCATATTGGCTGTTCATATGTTTGTTTGTTTGTTTGTTCATTTGTTTGTATATATATATATATATATATATATATATATATATATATTTTTTATACACATACAGACCTTTATATGTTTATCAATCATATTCAAGGTAATATATAACATACACAACACAACACAACAGAATAGAATAGAATAGAACAGAAAAGCAAAGAGAATAGAACTTATTTTACAACTTTATTTTCATTTATATATCGTTTTGAAATGTTTACAAATCAGCTTAACAGAATTAACTGACTTATGATCTAAATGCTGGCTGACTACGGTTTGATGGTTATCAATGCCATTTAGTGCACTTATCTACGGCTTTATTATTCAAAAACTATAAATGATTACAAAATTTTTATTTCATTTCTATTGACCTTCATATACGGTGAACGTTGTTTGTAAAGGAATATAAAAATAATATAAAAATAATGTAAAAAGAATATAAAAATGGATTTATCTAAAAACTTAAAATAAAAAAAAAAAAATAAAAAATATAAAAAAAAAAACAAAAAAAAAAAAAAAGAGAAAAGATGAAGCATTTTAATTAAACAAAAAAATGAAACGCTTGAAAACATTCACGTTTCAACAACGCGTTCTTTTTTATTGCAATGCGGAAATTTTGCTTTTCTCGTTTTGTCTTTATTATTGTTGTTATGGTTGTTTTCTTCTTTATGGTTTTATTGTTTGGTTTCTTTTTATTTAAAATTGAAACTTGTCCGCGAACAAAACGAAAGACTTAAGTCACAAACTACTTTAGAGGCCATATACCATATATTTTGTCTTCACTTAGTGTACTCATCGCCAAAAAAAATTAAAGTATACTAGATATGCCCTTACGTTTGCAACACCCACACAATTACCCATCCCAAATATACATGTATAGATATCACTTTTTCTTCTTCTCTCTCTATAGAATTATCCATCTATCATAAGCCGTTCGTGGAACGTTTATAGGGACAAGAATAACGGAAAACAAAGCTGAAACCTCTTAATTGACGGCCGCAAGTCGATATTTGTATATACTTTCGCGATAGATTTTCAACTTGGTTCAAATATTTCTTCAGGCTAATTAATGTAATGTACGTATGAAAATCATTTCGATCGACCAACGGATATCTATAGTTGAAGATTTTGATGAGTATCAAAAATGCATCGTAAGACATACATAATATGCTTATTAAGGTAAGTTTGCCTTAAAGTTTGTGTGCGTGTGGTTGAAAAAAATCGTACACGCATTCACTGCGATTAACCAATAAGACTAATCGGAATCTCCATGAAATTAGGGTTTTATTTGCGCATAAGTATATAAAGCCGCTAAATTTGTAGAATTTCTAGGGAGTCAATCCATTTTAGATTATTCCATAAATAATGAGAGTCTTTCTATGCACTTACCTACTTGGATATTTATTACTAATTTCTCGAAAAACCATTCAGATCAAGTTCTGCCTTTCTGATTACGTCCTCAGAATGTGTAGAATTATTTTAACTTTCCAATGATTGCAGAAAATCCTCAGGCAGATGATAAGCCGTAGTATCCATCTTAGAAATTTTAAATCATGACATTTTTTTTTTTTTTGATCAAGAGGATGTCCTTCAGTTTCCTTCAGTGACTAAAAGTGTATATACTATGTGGTGTCTCTAAAGTTTCCTTCTACGCGTTGCGAACATTTTAATGGGTATAAATATGGGTCTGGTATTCTTCTAATTTTCTAACACCCTATGGCATACATTTCATGAAACCGCCATCAAAACGATAAATGTAGATTACTCTCATTTTTCAGAGTGATAGATTTGCGCATATACGCACGCACTCCAAAAATTAACGGAAGAATAAAAACAAGTAAGAACATTATAGTCGGACAAGACTGACCATTAAATACACTACACCACATTGTCTAGCATAGGTCTTATTTTTATTATGGAACACGAAAATTATATCTTCTTTCCATATAAAGGCGTATTTTTCATCTGCCCGTTTATGGGGAAGCGGGCCTAAAACGCAACCTAATGTAGTACAAGTTTAATCCTTACAATGCGCACGATCCAAAAATAGGGGAAGACGATCCAAATTTTGTAGAATTCACGTTTGTATGAAATTATTATAATATTATGGATCAATTTCCATCATCGCATATTAAAACTTAAACTTTTCTGCTCTACAAAGGTTCAATTTTCATGAAAATCCTTATTAGGCTATGATGCAAAACATAAACCGAGATGGTCCAAATATGGCACAGTTAATTTTTTTATGTTAAAGCACTATTATGATATAATTTTCATCATCAAGAATTGAAAATTACATTTTACAAACTTCACTTTTCACTATATGGGAGCGGTTTCACAAATTGCCACAGCCGATGCAAAGTTTTCGTACCAACTTAGAAAGATGAAATACTACAACTTAGTCACTTTTGATGAAAAATTTTGAAAATTACAATTTTTTTCCATGTAACGATTTTTCACAATATGCGAGGTGGTCGAAAAAGTAAATCGGTCAGATCCATTTTCAATAGCGTTCGTCGTTGGGTCAAAAGACATCACTGGACCAAATTTCATCAAAATATCTCAAAAATTGCGACCTGTAGCTTAAACACAATATTACGTGGACAGACATGAGACGGACAGTCAGACCTAAATTATGATTCTGAATCGATCGGTAACATAAAAGGTGGGTCTATCTTAAGCCCCTCTGCATGTTTCATACGACCGCACTAATATGCTTTAATATGCCTTGCACCACAAGTGGTGGGAGCGGAGGGCAGTTGATGGAGCAATTCATGAGAGGTGTATCACCATACTTTCAATGGCGAAACGCGGCTTTTTATAATCAAATTCCAAGAACTTATTCTACATTTAGTTGTCGTCGTTTATGTGAGAATGCCTATGACCTATTCGCGTCAGAAAAAAGTAACGAAAGGCAAGGAAAGAAAGAAAGTAGGGAGGTGGTGATCACATCCTAGTGGATATATACCAAATCGATAAGTGTTATGCCTTGACTGACTGAGCCACTCACTATAGCTATGACCAAAGTAAAGTGTACCGCCGTGGGATTGAACCCGCAAATAGTTGTTTATTAACCGTGAAACTTGCCTACTCGCCGACTTATATGGGTGTTTCCCAGCTATGAAGAAAAGAAGATTTCTTTTTTCGAATAATGTGAAAATGAATAAACTTTGTAGGATTTGTTGCAGATATTTTGTTGATAGTCGAAAAGTAACTCCTCTTTGAGTGCTTTTTTTTTTTTTAAAAATTGGATTCTTTTTTGCTGAAGCGTCCCGAACAGTTTCGTTAATAAATGAAAAGAGAAACGACGACATATTCTCGAAGCAAATAAAGACACACTAGAAAATATTCTGATAAACATCCAACTCATTTTTAATAACGGAACTAAATGAACACTATAGTTATATATTATTAAGCGTAAAATTAAAGTAATTCATAGCGAAACTAAAGCAATTCATTAAATTTCACAATAAAAAATAATAATTAAACTGAAAAGTAAGGAATTCATTAAAATTATTCATAATAAATTCAATCAAATTTGTACATATTTTTTCTTTTGATAACATAATACTTTGTCGGACATTTTAGTGGAATTTAGCCGGGGAACTCTTTATGATCTTTAATATAAGTGACAAATTTTACATAATCTTGTATAAGAGTCATTTGATTCAAATACAAATCTACCCAGCGATTGTAGGCTTCCTGATAAGACTCATTATAGCTTTGCTCAGAACTGTCTGAACTCTCATTGGAAAATGTAGTGGCGTTAGCGGATGATGTACGGTTATAGCTCGCAGACGTATTCTGATTGTTTTCCGGATCCTCTTCTAGCTCTGCCTCTAACTCTTCTCCAATATCGTTTACATCTTCTTCCTCCTCATACTCTTCTTCGTCTTCATTATCGGTATTGAAATAATGTTCACTGCTACTGCCACTGTTATCATCCTGTTCGCAAGCATCTGCACGATCGTGTTCATAGTCTTTCGATTCACTTGATTCAATGTCTGAACTACTATCATATTCGGATACGAGTTGTTCCTCTTGCTGCTGCTGCTGCTGTTGCTGCTGTATAAACGCACACTTGGCTTCTGAAGTTCCTTCATCGGAGGACTTCGAAGCGCTAGTTCTCTCTTCGAAACCACTACTACCACCACTACGTTCGCTATTGAAATCATTTTCAGCAGACATTTGCTGGTGAGACGGTACGGTCACACTATTTTCTTCAGAATTTAATAAACTGTTGTTGTGTGGAATTATGGGTGGAATTTCAATCTGCAAAGGTAGGTTAAGTTTTGTTTCGATGTATTGCAATTTGAAAATAGAAAAATATGTTAATTTTATCATATCACGTCCTATATCCAGCAAATGTACATTGACTCTCTCAAACTTCGTTTAGGTAACTGAACAAAATTTCATTATCATTTTATCTAACCAGACGGTCGGACAAATACATCGGCATAAGCAAAGGTGCCTTTACCTGTGCAATTTTATTTATCGGTAACATCGGTTGTTGAATTCCCGTTGACATTACTATATTAGATTCGTTAGTATTCAAGTTCTTGCAAGGCTGGTCTTGAGCTGCACTACTATTACCGTTAGATTCGGTATTCGTAGGCGAAACATGTGAATCACTTTCACCAGGAATTTGCTGGTGAGATGGTGCGGTCACACTATTTTCTTCAGAATTTAATAAACTCTTGTCGTGTGCAATTATTGACGTAATTTCAATCTGTAAGAATAATTTAAATTTTGTTTCTATGAATTGGAAAATAAAAAAAAAAAAAACAAAATTGGTAATTTTATGTTATGTCAATCTATCCAACAAATATACATAGATTTTCTTTTTCCAGTGACAACAGCCATTATTCCTAAAGTTATCTGCAAGCCGAGCTGCATTAAAATAACTAAGAAAAATGCCTTTAGCTTTTTATCTAATCGGACTTTCGGACACCACGCGCATCAGCATAAGCAAGGATGCCTTTACCTGACCAATTTTATTTATGGATAGCTTCAGTGGTTGATTTCCTGTTGGCATTACTAGATTTGGGGTGTTGATGCTCAAGTTCTTGGACGGTTGATTATGAGCTGGAGATGGGAAGTGCTTCACCTCTGGTTTAGCTGACGACGTTGTGCTTGATTCTATAGTCTCGGCTGATGTGTATTGTAATTCTTCCAACGACTCCTGAGCATTGGATGGAGTAGTGACGGAAAGGATAAAAGTATTTTTGTCGATTTCTTCCGAAGACGAATCACCTTCTTGAAAATTGACAAAGTCAGTATAAAAGTCCACTGGCGGAATATGAGGAGCCGATTCAGAAAGTGTCGGCTTATCGATTAGTAACGTTTTTAATTTGGCCAATTTCTGCGAAGATAAAACTGGATCATCCATCGTAGTACTAACAGACTGTAAGAAAGAAGTCTTCATTCTTTTAAGATATTTAATTCAACCAGAACCTTCCTTACCCCCGTGTTACTCTGTTCACCATTTAAGACTTCCTTCGTGTAGTTATCATACAAATCAATATTCAACTTATGAGGTCGAGTTTCTTCTTTATTTTTCGAGTCATCTTGTTTTAAGGAATCATGGTCGACTAGAAATTCCATCAAAGTAGGTATGGCTGCTTTTCTCATTAGAATCGATTGATATCGCGAAATGTCCTGTTGACTGCTGCGTAAACTATCGGCAGCTATGCTGCTGGCATCATCTATCGTGTTTGAAGACGCCAAATATTGAGAGGAACTGTGATGTGATTGTGATTGTGCCACATGTAATTGTGGTTGCTTTTGCTCCAGTTCAACGCCAGCCAAGTCATTAACATTCAAAGCACTGTCCTTCGAATCAATGCGAAAGGTGTTGGTATCAATTGATGATTGATTGCTGGCGATATTCATGGCCAGGCTCTGATTTTCTTTATTTTCAGAATTTCCGCTTGACAACGATACCGTGTCCTGAACAGCCAAAGGTGCTACATTTTTCGGTTCCGTATTGAATACTCCATAGTAGTTTGCTTCGTCTTCGTTTTTAGAAAAGTCCCAAAGATCCCTAACCTCTTTTTTTGGTTTTTTATCAGAGTCGGTTTGTTTTGAAGGAAATATCAAGACCTTCATACCGCTACCTACTTGTCCAGTTAATTTTCGAAATAATTGTACGTCTTTCTCAGAGGATATAAAACTTATTGCCAGACCATGGGAACCAAAACGTCCAGCTCTCCCAATTCTATGCAAATAAGTTATCACATCTTGCGGCAACTCCATGTTTATTACTAAATTAACATACTCGGAATCTACACCCCGTGACATAAGATCTGTTGCTAATAAAATTCGTGTCTTAAATTCACGAAATTTACGGAACTTCTCTAAGCGAGTCTTTTGATCTTGGGAACCAGATATCAACTCGCAAGGCCATCCATCCTTTTCCAAATAGTTGCGATATGAATCAGCTCTCGACTGAGAACCAGCAAAAATTAAGCATTGCTTAAAAGCTACGCAACCGAATATGTAACGCAAACCATCTAATTTGGCTTCCATTTCTAAGATGCTAGTTTTAAATTCCGGTAATTCGTAAACGAACTGTTTGACGCCCACCAAAAGAGTTGCGCGATTTTCAGTTGATATGAGCAAAGGATTACGCATAATGTTAGCCACTTCCTGATCAAGATTATCACAGAATGTGGCACTGCAAGCAATTGTTTGCTGGCGTGCAGGCAGCGCTTTTTGTATGCGCTGTAAATTCTGACGAAATGAATGTGTATACATTTTGTCCGCCTCATCTAAGACCAGTATCTTTATTTGCGACGTGTTCAAGACTTCATTCTGTATTAGATGCAATAAGCGACCCGGTGTGCCGACAATGGCTCTGGCACCTTGCAAGCGTCTACGATCCTCGGCAGCATCCAGACCGCCTATAACACAAACAGAACGGAAACCTTGAGCGTATTTACCAATTCTATTCAGAACATCTTCAATTTGCACAGCTATCTCTCGTGTAGGAGCAACCACTAACGACTGCGGTTCAGGGATGTCGGGTTTGTACGCTTCCAAGATAATACAGCAGAAGATCATAGTCTTACCAGTACCTGACTTTGACTGAACTAGTATATCTGAATTGTAAAGACATTTAAAATTTTACTTTCGTTAGAACACTACACTCCGACATACTTACCCATGCCTGATTTTCCAATTGGAATGGCGGCTGACTGAATTATTGTAGGATATATGAAGCCGGCGGCGTATAAACCTTTGCGCACCGGTTCATTTAACATCATTTTACTGAATGGCGCCGATTTCTTAAGACGGACATCCTCTGTTCTCAACTTGCTATCTAATACATGGGCAACGGTATTTTCACCCATTTTATCACAAATTTTCCTTAAATTTTTGTTTAATAAACCTTGGTAAACTTAAGAAATTTTTTCATGCTGCACAATAACCAGTGTTGACGATTATCCACCGCACTAATGAAAAAGCTCAGAAACCAAAAGTAGCGTTTCTATGAATACAGAAAGTCTCCAATGTTTGTTGGAATATCTTACATTTCCTTATATGCTTTTTAACGGTAACAGGAATTTATTATATGACTTTTAGGATTCATTTCCCCTTTACATGTAAAATTTCTTTTCTTTTACTTTAGACGCGTAATTCAAGGGACAGCTAAACTTTAAAATTATAGGTTGGTAACACGGTAACAAAATTTGGAAAATTCATTAATCGCTATTTCATATGCAATGCGGCCAAATTTGCTTATTTTTCTTTAGCAAAATCTAATAGAGAAAAAAGCTCTTACAGGATGACTCTAAAATAATTTAATTTAAACGGCCGTACTAATTTTTTTAAATTTAAAAAAAAGAAGTCGCTAATGAATTGAATGAAAACCTGATTAGTAAAAATAAATTAAATTGTATAGTTTTTAATGATATATATTACGATGTCCCTTAACGTCGAAGCCAGTTAAACACAACTGTTTCCGAAGCCGAAAACTTTTAATCACTTTTCTCCGGATCTGAGTAAACTTCTTGAAAAGTAGGGAATTCTCCATAAAAAGCCTGGTTAGCAGGGTAAGCAATATCTGATTGATAGATAAAAAAGTTGTTCAATTTTCGATGAGGTAAAGCCATGCCATATCCAGATTTATTGTTGGTAGCCAACTTTCAAAAATGCTGCTTTAAAAAAAAAATTTAATATATTCGCTTTTAGCATTTATTACCCCTGTGCTGCTCTGCTCACCGATTAAGATCTCTCGCGCATTATCATTATTGTATAAGTCAATATTAATTTTATTAGCTTTGCTCTTTATTGAATTTTTGTCCAACTGTCGGGTAATACCTTTTCTTTCCATTTTGACAAAATTATTTTGGAATTTTCTCAAAATTTTCTTTAGCAAAATTTCTCAACTATGAAAATTTATGGTCCTTTCCTTAAAATAGGACGAAAGTAAAATACTTATCACGTCGAACATATTAGCCTTGGTATTGAATGTTCAGAGTTGCATTTATAAGAAAAAAGGAAAAGCTCTAAAACAAAAAAGTTTAAATGTATCAAAGATAGGGAAAATTTTGTTAAACAATGCACAATAAATAAGTAAACAATGCCTCCTGTACTTACCTTAGTTTTTTTTGGCGGAAAAAGAAATCTGCTGATATTCATTATAAAGCGAGATGCTTTGTCCTCGTTTTCACAAAACTTAGCGTAGTATTTATTTTTCAAAAACATAAATAAAGCCTGTATTGATTTTCGGAGGTCACTGCCTCCAAACACTAACAAGATCTCTGTATAGCTTTTAGCAAAATGCTGTATTGTTGAATGGAATGAATTGTATAAACATTGATTCGTTTTTAGGTTTTTTCTCCAGGGCTTTTAGCTGTTGCAACGTTATTTAGTGTAAAATTAGTAAGCGGAGGGTAGTCTGTTTTTAACAGCGTGACTCAGTCATACATAATATTAAGGAAATATTATTTATATGAAAAGACACAAAGGGTGACGCATATGTTTATTTACACTAAAAAACAATATGAAATGTACATGTTTTTATATGAAAACAGACGCTTTGCTTTACATTCTTTTAAATTAAATCAAAGTATTACCATAACTAATAATCTACAAAAGCACGTCCCATTGCAAATCGATACAAATAAGAGAAATAGCTTACAGATCGAAAAATACCCTTAAACTTTAGTGTATTATCATTCTCTCCAGGGGTTAAGTAACAATGGTACTTACTAAGTGTTCAAAAGAAGGAAATTAGCGAAACCTTTGCGATCATTTGTTTACTTCTCAATCTATTCAATAGACATTGATACTGACAGAGCTGCACTACGTTAGTAGTCATGTTATATCATTATAAACTTTTAGAGTTTTTAAAGCAATTTTTATAAGAGTTTAAAAATTAATGGTGTTTTCATCGCGTTCCATATGGAACTGCCAGCATAAAACCAATTCTATACAGAATTCTGTATAATTGCGTAAATAAACGCAAAGGGTAATTACTTATACTTTAATTAACGGCGAAGCCCATAATTGATAAATGTTTTGGTTTCTTTCATGGAAGGCTTTCGTATCATTTTCGTTGCCATAGTTCATGTTGAAAAGAAGAGCGAAAACAAGGTGCAAATTTTCATTTACATATGTTTGTAGCTATCAAATTCTTCTCTCTGATTTATTAAAAAACTACACGAAAAGGCCAAACTAATTGCAAAACGCATGAACATTTTAAAACTTTAATTGCCTACTGCTTGGTTATATGCGTACATACACATTTATATTTATACCATCGCACGTATTCATTTAAGAGCACAAAATTATGTATGCTCCTGCTTTGAAGTAATATATTAAATATATATAAATATCCGCCTGAGTGGCCGAGTAGTATCTCGACTAATAACTTTGATAATCGTGGATTCAAATGTAGGTTTTTCAATAAAGCCGTTAATTTCAGATTGTCGGTGCACTGCACTAGTTAAGTTATTAATAACAAATGAGAAATAGAAACTAGCAAACGAGAGAGTCTTAATTTGATAATAATTTTAATTGTAAAGATACTTAAGTTATATAATACATAAGTTGAAATGAAAACAAAAACATATCTCACTACATGCCGTTTGTAATTTTTGACTGCGTTTTATTGAATGTTTATTCAATGTAGTAGCTTTATGCCGTTTTTCACCTGCATGTGACGGCTATTAACATAGCTGTGGAGGTCATGCGTCATTCTTAACATACTAGTGGATGTGTTTTTATTGGACTGCTTTGAGTAGTTTAACATCTCTGTTTTTACGGTTATCAGAGAGGATGAGAGAGGAACACTATATAATGCTTTTAAGCCTTTATTATTTGGGTAAATTAATTATAGTAATCATAATAATAATAAATATATAAATAATAAGTAAATTAGATAAAGATAAATCATTCGTGCAATATAACTTTGTTTAATAACAAAAAATTTCTTCATATTTCCTTTGTAAAGCCGTAACAAAATCATTATGTGGTGTAGTTTCATATTTGCTAACAGATGGTAGTCTCATCTGTTTGCATGGAAGTCATTGTAAAAACCGAAGGTAATATGTGCAACACGTAGGCAAAAAAATTTGAAAAACAATCCCTTCGTTGGCTTTGGATGAAGTATTCGTAAAAATAAATACAGATAAGAACAATATCGATAAACGTTGATTAAGAGCTTATTAACAAAGTTTTTGCCCACACAAATAATGAGAATGAGTAAGAAAGTGGAAGCAGTTAAATGGCTGGTAATTAACACGGTCACTACTGTTATTGATAGCAAACAGTTGGAATTGTCCACAAAATGGGACATTTTGTCATTTTGGTGTCTGTGTTAGGACGCACGTGTTCAACGCTACGGTACGAAATCAGATTTTAACTAATAGTCTTAACCGCTAAGGCAACTTAGGTTTATCGTAAACATATTCTTCTTGGTATAGTTCATAAATGTTGTTGTTGGTTTGTCAGGTTTATTAAATGTAAAAAGATTCAGTTTTCTTGTCCGTGCTTCAATAAGGCTTAGGCAATACTCAGATTTAATTACGCCAGATTCATTAAACCATTTGAAGTGCTTTGTAACCACCTGAATGATATTTATAACTTAATCTTTCTGCCTAATCGATTATCATAAGTTCTGCGAAGCATCGTCTTCAACTTTAAGACAAAACAAGTAAGAAAGTTATATTCGGCGGGGGCCCAGTCTGGCATACCCGCCACTATGGTCTTCGCATTCTACTCTCCAAGTTCTTTTGTTTGATACCCAAATCGCTTAAGAAAAAATTAATCCACCAGGTCGCGGTGTCTACCATATTCATTTTAAAACTAACCCATCTTTAGACAGATAATATATCTTCATTTGAGGAACGTACAAAATATTTTGAAACATTCTGTCTTGTTTGCTTTATGATAAACAAGCATAAAACTTCAAAAAAAGTGAAAAAAAAAAATTAATCATTTGTAAGTTTGTGAGGGAGTTTTAGTTTTGCATGTGAAAAGTAAAGTGTTTCGTAAAGTAAACTTTTATAATTTCTGAGTAATGAGCAAAAACTCACAAAGAAAAACGAAGTTGCGTTCAGCTTCTGCTCCAATGTCACCTTCTACTCTAACCAATTTGGCCCAAATTTAATAATTAAATAATTTAATGTGTGCGGAAACTTCTAACTAAACTTTACTAAATTTGAAGTTGATAACGAACACATCACAGATAGGCAGACATCAGAATTTCAAGCTGATTAACAATACATATAATTTATAGAGTCGCTGAAGCCTCCATTTGGATATTACATACATTATGGGGAAAAACGAAATTAGTATACCCCCATCTTACACTGGTGGGTATAAAAAAAAAAGTGACCTGCCGATCGTAATTATCGTTTTATTCGAACATCCTTTTACATAGGAGATAAAACGAGTTTCAACAACATATATAAAAGCGGGGTTTCTTTATATGTGTTCGAAGAACATATCAAATATTTTAAGCTCCAATCCCTCAATATATTTCTTTTAAGCAATATTTATTTTTCTCGTGCCAGCCGGAAATGAAGCATATGCTCACGACGTATAACGTCGTGTAAGAAAATTCCTTATTATTAAAAGAAGTTTGCTTGCTTTATAAGTGCATCTGACTCGTTAGGATATCAATAAAAGTTTATCGTTTAGGAAATTCTTCATCGATTACTATAGTTTCAAGGGTGAGGAAGTTTGAATTTATGTCATATAACTATTGTTTTATATTCACTGGCGTCAGTAGCAAGTTCACTGTTTGCGAATTTATAGAATCCCTTCTTGAATATGGGCACTCCTGTGCCCGAATACTTGCAACGCTCATATATTTCGTAGATTCATAGTTCGTAAGATAATAGATCTTCGATATTAATATCAAAAGAATTTTAAAGTGTACCCGGAACTTTTCAATATTAGGATAGAAGAGATATAGAACGAATATCTGATGATCGCTAACGACTTGTGGGCAGATGTAGACCTTTGCTATGAAGACCAAGGGCCGTTACAGATTAAACAGCCGCTTTCATATTGCTGACATTAAGAAAAATAGCAAATGCTTTGGAACTTTATTGATCTCCCACAGACTTGGCCAACTTTCATAATATATTACGTAAAACGAAGTGCTA